AATTAATAGTGATTAATAATTAATAGTGATTAATAATTAATAGTTCTTAAAAATTAATAGTTATTGATAATTAATAGTTATTAATAATGAATAGTTATTGATAATCAATAGTATTATTAATAATTATTAGCAATAAATATTCATTGTGAATAACTATAAATTATCAATAATTATTAAAACTATTAATTATCAATGGCTATTAATTATTGATTTAACTATTAATTATCAGAAAGTATATTAATTATTAATAACTTAAATATTACTGACAATTAATATTAAAATTAGACAATATTAAGACTGTTAATTATTTTCTATTTTTTTCAGAATTAAAATCTCATTTTAAAATAAAAATTGTAGTGAACTAAAAAATTTTCAAACTATAAAAATTAAAAAAATTAAAAAATAATGAATTAAAAGGAATTAAAATTTCATTTTAAATTGAAAATTTTAGTCTATACTAAGCATTTTCTAAACTACAAAAATTAAACAAATAATTAAAATAATGAAACAACTTTTTAACATTTTTGAAAAATTAAAAAACTTTTTTTGATAATTAGTTTTCAGAATTAAAATTTAAAGATAATGAGACTGTTGAATTACTTTATAATATTTTTATAATTTTTTATTGCAATTAAAATTGAATTTAAAATTAAAAATTTACAAAGAGATTTAGTATTAAACTAAAAGTTTTCTCAATTTTAAATTAAAAATTAAGAAAATTTAAAGAAAATGAAACAATTATTTTATTTACTTTATTTATTTATTTTATTCGTTATATTTATTTATTTTATTCATTTTATTTATTTATTTTATTTATACTACATATTTTCTACTATTTTAATAATTATTTTTGTAGAATTAAAATTAAAATTTAATGAAGCAATTATTTTTTATTTTAGCAATTGTTTTTAGTATTAAAAAAAAATTAATTACGTATTTTATTTATACGACATATTTTCTACTATTTTAATAATTATTTTTGTAGAATTAAAATTTAAAGTTAATGAAGCAATTTATTTTTTATTTTAGCAATTGTTTTTAGTATTAAAAAAAAAAATTAATACGTATTATTTTAAGAAAACAATTTTATTTAGATAGTAAAAAAAATAGTAAAAATTCAAATCAAATAGAAAATTTTCATCCAATAATGTTTATTGAGCAAGTTGAAAGTGGAACTTTAAATTTTAGGTCAAAATTCAAGTGTAAGGAGGAAACGTAAATGTAAAATTTATCTCAAATATTAGAAGGTCAATTGCTGAATAAAAAACTTAAAATTAATTTCGCTAATTAAATTATGAATTAAATGGAACATTTGCAGAATTAAATTATTAATTAATAAATTAATTGACCAAAATAATTTAATTGATTTTTAATTACATTATTTTTTATTATTAATTAATTAATTGATTGATTGAATGAATCAATTACTCGACTAATTAATTGAATATTAATTACTTAATTGATTGATTGAATCAATTACCTTACTAATTGATTGAATATTAATTACTTAATTGATTGGTCGATGCAATAAATTAAATCATTAATTAATTAATAGACAAAATTATTTATTTAATTAATTTAATTTAATTGATTAATTAAATTATTAATTAATTATTTCAATGCATTTTGATAATAGAAAATTAATACACAAAATAGAGAAGAAAATTTTTTTTACATTAAAATTAAATTTGTTTTTCTAAAATATGTTGAGGGTAAAGTGATTGTTTTTAATTTTCTTAATTTAAAAGGACAGTGTTTAATTAAATTATTTAATTAAAACGTTTTCTTAATAGAGCAGGCATTCCGAAGGAGATTTCATTGAATCGTTATGCTATTTTATTCTCGGAGTCTCGATAAAATTATAGTTGAAGCATTTTAATTTAAAAGATAAGCATTTTTTGTTTAACGCTAATCGATGAATTAAATTAAATTCAACTTTTATTTTTAGTTTATTTTTTCTTCACTTTTTTTCTTGATTTTTAATCTACGTTTTAATTTACTTTTAATTTTATTTTTAGTTTATTTCATTCGATATTCATTTTTATTTCATTCCATATTCATTTTTTTATTTTTATTTCATTTTATTTTTATTTATGTAAATGAATTTATTAATTTTGATATTATTTTTATTTCACTTTATTAGAGACATTTGAATCATTATGATGTGACAGTTTGTGCAAAGTATTTTTGTTCTAAATCTGTGGCGTCATAATAGATCAAATGTCGTTAAAGATAAAAATTATAATAATTTATTAATTTAAATATTACTATTTTTATTTCACTTTATCAAGAAGGTAAAAACTAAAAATTAATAATTTTTGAATTTAAATATAATTTGTATATATTATTCTATAAATAAATATATAAATGTTGTAATATTATTATTTGCAACGAATCATTATTTTTTAACCCAATAATGGATTTATTTACTTGATTATATGAGAAGACAAAATTGATCTTCTCATTTTTTTAATTAAAAATATGCCTTTTTATTGTTTTCTAGATAACTGTTGAAATTGTATGTGTGTATATTAATTTATTAAATTGTCAACAAATAGGTCAATCATTGTCTCGTTATAATGAATAATTTACAATTGTCCATTGCTATCATCTGTTTATGCAAAAAGCACATATATATTATTTTCCATTATCAGGGAAAAAGTTATATTAATAAAGAATGATTGGATATGTGCTATATGCACATTGTGAGTATATTTTGCTTTTAAATTTTTACACTCTCATTTCATTTACTTTTCACACTGTTTACTGCAGATAATAATAATTATTATTTCATTTTTGAATTAACGGCAAAAATTTATTTAAATTCTCGCCTTTAAAAACAATTTTTATTTCAATTTCACTTTTATTGCACTATTTATTTATTTGTATATATTTTTTATTTTTTCCCTCGTTTATTTTATTTATGCAGTCAAAATAATAATGCGAAAGTAATTTTTTCTTTAAAGTTTAAATTTCACTTTTTTATTATTTATTTATTCTTTAAATTTCAGTTTTTAATTATTTATTTATTTATTTCAAACTTTCATTATGTTAATAATTTTCGTAAATGAAATAATTTTTTCGCATATTAATTTGGTCTTTAAATTTACATCAATAGGAATCACATTAAAATTATTTTCAAATTACATTCGAATTATATTCAAATTGCATTCAAGTTATATTCAAATAGCATTCGAATTACATTAAAATTACATTAAAAAATTAAATTAGAATTAAATTAATTGAAATTGGTAACTGTAATTATTTTCAAATTGCTGCAATGCCATTTAATTAGTTTCAATGAGATCTAATGAGGGAATTTGTAACTAACATTGAAGGAAAGCACTAAAGTAATTTGTAATTAGTACCTATTAATATAAAAAAGGATAATTTTTTAATTTGTTGACAATTTATTGGATGTAATTAATTATTGCACTCTAATTTTAAATTCTTTTCTATTATCATAAAATTGCTGAAACCTCGTTTAGAATTATTTATTTTTATAGTAAAAATATTAAACTTAAAAATTAAAAATTTCGTTTAGACTTATTTGTTTTTATTAATTAGGTATATATGGTAAATAAATTAATGAATTAATTAGTGAAATGTAATTAAAATACTATTTCTAGTATCGTTAAATTTTTTCTGGAACTTTGAAAAAATATTTTTTAAATTTCAACATTATTTTAACTTCAAAATTAGAAATATTTTTTTATACTGAAATAAAAAATTATTTGATTCAAATAACCAATTAGTTTTCTATTATCAAATAAATATTTAGTTGAATCAAATAATTTTTATTTAAATCAAACAAATTTTATTTGAACCAATGATTTCTGTACTTATTTAATAATTTATTTGATTAACACTAAATATTATTTAATTGAAATAAATATTTACTTGTATCAAAGATTTTTTATTTCAATCAAATAAATTTTATGTGAACCGATAATTTCTGTATTTATTTGATAATTTATTTGTACTGATAATTTCTGTATTTATTTAATAATTCATTTGATTTAAATAAATATTATTTAATAGTAATAAATATTTAATTGCATCAAAGATTTTTTATTTCAATTAAACAAATTTTATATGAACCGATAATTTCTGTATTTATTTGACAATTTATTTGATTCATCTAAAAATTATTTGATACAAATGAATATTGACTTGCATCGAAGTATTTTTATTAAAGTCTAATAAATTTTATTTGAACCGATAATTTTTGTATTCACTTGATAATTTATTTGATTTAACTAAAAATTATTTGATACAAACAAATAAATATTTACTTGCATTAAAAAATGTTTAATTAAATTTAATAATTCTTTTTCAAACCAATAATTTCTGTATTTATTTGACAATTTATTTGATTTGACTAAAAATTATTTGATATTGAAACAAATGAATATTAATTTGCATCGAAGTATTTTTATTAAAATCTAATAAATTTTATTTGAACCAATAATTTCTTTCTTTACTTGATAATTTATTTGATTTAACTGAAAATTATTTATTAAAATTAAAACATTATAAGTAAATAATTATTTGATAATAAACAAGTAATCGTTCATTTGACACAAATAAAACTATTTTTAAAACTTTAATCAAAGCAGAAGTATTAAAGATAATTTCTTTTACAAACAGTTTGAAAAAGCAATAAAAAATCAAACTTGTAAACAAAAATTGCTATTTTTAACATTTTAATCAAAACTGACATTAAAAATTAAAGATAAATTTTTTTGCAAACAGTTTGAAAAAGAAATGATTGTACAGCAAAAAAAAAATTACAACTTACAGATAAAAATTACTATTTTAAAAATTTTAATCAGAAGGGACATTAAATATTGAAAATGAATTTTATTATGAAAATTCGATTAATATATTCAGCGTATATATATTTTCCCGAGGTAAAATATATCGACCTGTCTTGACGTTTGACACTCGAGCAGTAAACACATAGGTAGACATCAACTTGTTGCGCTTCCGTCACTTACCTTGATTAATAAAGTCATGGTGAAATACAAGAGCGTGCCGAAGGGTGGTGACAAGCGCTTTCCAAGGGTCTTTAATTTATATATATCTATATATATATACTAAATAAAGCCCTGATATGGTCAATTTCACGATTACTCGATTTTTGAATTTTCCCCGAGAGATGGAGAGAGACAAGATTTATCGCAATTTCTTTTCACTTGATTTCAAAAGGGGTGCGTAACAGGTGGACTGTAATGTAGGAAAAATTGAGAATAAAAAGAGAGGAAAAATGGTGAAAAATAAAAAAGAAAATGGAGAAAGAGTGAAAGAGAGAGAGAGAGAGAGAGAGAGAAAGAGGAAGGAAATGAAAGATGACAAAAAGGAAGAGTCGAGAATTTATAAGTTGGTTTTTTGGTCTTCTCGGCACGAAATCTAGAGACGCACTGGTCCGAGGTCTCTCTCACTCTCAGCTTTCCTCCCTGTTACTATAGTATACGATAAATATGAAAGTGTACGTGTGTAATCGAATACACATATACAATCGTATATTCCATTCAGTCACTCAATTCCACACGTGCATATATCCCACCCATGGGGCACAAGTCAAAAATCGCTTTCTTTCAATATCTCCATTTGTTATATCGAAGACGAAAAATGCTTTCCGAGAAAGTCGTCGTTCGTCGTCGTCGTCCCTTTCGCTCAGAGAGGTAAAAAAAAACATTTCACTCTAATAGCACAACGTCCCGGCAATAATTCTCTGAAATACTTCTGTTCTCTCACTTCTATTGACACTTCTTTCCGTCATTTTCTGCCTTTTTTTGGTATCCTTTTTATTGAAGGTAAAGAGAGAGAGAGAGAGAAGGAATTTTTCTTTTTCACATAAGCAAATTTTCATGCTCTTCAATCACATTTGACAATTTTTTTTTCTTCGTCTTCTTTCGCGGAAGATTAATTACTGTATGCTAATATAATAAATCATGGTATTTTTTTTTTTTTTTTTTTTTGGTTAAGAAGATTCTTTTGGTCATTAAATACCCTGCGGAGGGGAAATTTGAAATTTTCAATTTAAATGTTAATTAGATTTTAATTGAATTTAAATTAGATGGTGGACTTGATCTTTTGTGCGGTCAAATTGAAGTTTCGACACATACGTTTGTTGGGATATGTATGATTTTTGGAATAAAAAAATTTAAACTTGGGGAAAAATTGCGAATTAGGTGGAAAAAGAAATTTTTTTGGTCGCGAAGAGCGTGAAATAGGGGTCGATTTTTTTCTTCATTTTAATAGAGATGAAAAGGTAGGAATTAATTTCAGGTGGGATTTGTATTCAGTGACCTCGAAAAATACCCGAGCAACAAGTTTCGAATGAATGTGATTAAACTATTTTTTTTGTATAGAAAGAGAGTGGTTCTAAATTTTGGATTTTGGAAATTTAGAGAGAGAGGTGTTTAATTTTCTAATTCTATGGTCAAATTCGTGATCAGTGACTACAAAAACCCCCTGAGTAGTCAGTTTTAAGCTAATACAGGCAAGTTTTGAAAATTTGTTCGCCATATTGGAGTCGCCATTTTGAATTTTCAAAATCTGACATCAGATTCATGTTCATTTTGAGTGTAAAAGTGAAATTAATTTTATTTTGTTAATTAAGTGAACTCTATATTCTTTAAAATACTCCAATTTAAATTTTTTACATTAATAATTTAAAGACAAAATCACAATTAAAATTTGTCAATTATTTTCTAGACCGCAGTTTCGATTACCCTCTCAGGTGATTTTTTTTAATTAGTGAAATTATATTTAATTTCTTGATTTAATTTAATATAAGTTCGTTCTAACTAGAGTGTTTAAAACACTTTAATTTGTACTAAAATAAGTAGAATAAATAAAGCAAACAAATTCAAGAAAGTAAATAAAATAAAGTATTAGTCCGTATTACTCCGTATTATTGCGTATTACTCCGTATTATTGCGTATTACTCTGCATTATCGCGTATTACTCCGCATTATCGCGTATTATTCTGTATTATTGCGTATTACTCCGTATTATCGCGTATTACTCTGTATTATCGCGTATTATTGTGTATTACTCCGTATTATTGCGTATTATTACGTATTACTTCGTATTGTTGCGTATTACTCTGTATTATTGCGTATTACTCCGTATTATTGCGTATTATCGCGTATTACTCCGTATTGTTCCGTACTTTTCCGTATTATTCCGTATTATTGCGTATTATTCCGTACTTTTCTGTATTATTCTGTATTATTTCGTATTATTTCCGTACTTTTCCGTATTATCTCGTATTATCTCGTATTATTTCGTATTATTTCCGTATTATTTCATATTTTTCTGTATTTTTCTGTATTATTTCGTACTTCTCCATATTATTTCGTAATATTGCGTACTTTTCCATATTATTTCGTACTTTTCCTTTTTATTCCGTATTATTTCGCATTTTTTAGTATTATTTCGTATTTTTCAGTATTATTTCGTATTATTTCCATACTTTTCCGTATTATTTCGTATTATTCCGTATTATTTCGTACTTTTCTGTATCATCCCGTATTATTTCGTATGTTTCAGTATTATTTCGTATTATTGCGTATTATTCCGTATTTTTTCGTATTTTTCCGTATTATTCCTTATTTTTCTGTATTTTTTTTTATTTATAAAGATAATTGGGATTTTTAAGAAAATTTTTTTTTTCAAATTTTGAACATAGGTGAATTTTATAAAAAAATTTTTTTTGTAAATAATTGAATTTCTGCAATTATTTGTAATTTCTCAAAAATTGAATTTTTTTACTATTTCAAACAAAAATTTAAATTAGAAAATTTTTAAATTCTATTATTTTTAAAATTGCTAATTTCATTTAAAAAAGGCTTTGGCGCACGAATTGTTGCAAGTTAATTTTAATATTTAATAAAATTTCCCCACAAAATAATTGAGTTGAAAAAACTACATTTTCCGGGTAATGCGTAATTCCCAGGATCTCAGGAAATTCCGATTGGAAATACCAACTTAAAAATTCAGAATTTAAAGTCGAACTTTCTAATCGTAATTTCCAATGAGAATTTATGGGGATCACTTACTTGGGAATCTTGTCACGCTTTTTTTCTCAAAGTAAACTAATTGAAATTTTGCCAAAGCAAAAAAAAATAATGATAGTTTAAAAATTTTAAAAGAAAAATGTTTATGAACATTTTTAAAGTGTTTTTTTTCTTTCTTTTTGAAAAATATCTTCATTAGCCGCAAATAAAAAAGGGAAAAAAGAAAGGAAGAAAGAAAGAAAACGAAAAAAAGACAAAAATCAATGAAAGTATAAAGATTTTAAGTAAAAGGTACATAAGCAGCAAACAAACGTTTTTTTCACTTGAAACTTTTTTTTTAATTTCCTTTCTTTGGCTCAGTTTTTATTCGATTATGTCTTAGTAAATTCTCTTTAGAAATGGTTGTATAACACTTTTACGAGAAGTAGTGATTGTTCTCGCGCAGACAATAGTCATTGTTCGTATGTTGTTAAAATAAAAAAATCAATGTTTAAAACTGTTATTTTAAACAGTAAACATTAGTTTTTTTTTAATAATAATAACTTTAATAAAAAAATAGTCGAATAATTCGTATCGAAACAAAAGCTTCTGTTAATTAAGGTTTTTTAAATTATTAAATTAATTTTTTATCACTATTTTCTTTATATTTAAGCCCGTTGATACTTAAATAATTAAATTTTAATAATAAATTGTTAAATATTAATTTAATTTTAATTTTTATTTTTATTTAATTTTTTTTTTTTTTTGAATAATTTTTTATTACACGATAATTGAAGGAAATATTGAAAAAATATATAAATTGTTTTTACTATTCCTTTCGATAATTATGATTGGAAAATTATTCATTATTTCGTTTTTCCAAAAAAAAAGATATTTTTTTTGCATTTTGAAAAAAAATGTTTTGAAATGTGCAATTAATAGAGAGCTATAAATAACTTTGCATTGCAATTAAAGATATTTGCAATGTGGGTATACACGATGCATAAAATAGAAACTTGAAAAGCAACTCTTGACAGATTGTATAATTGTTTTAAAAACAATTTACAGCAAACATGGAACATTATTTTTCTAGATAGTAGAAAAAACAATTTGAAAATTGATTAAGGAAACAAATTTACGAAAGATAAATATAGAAATTAAGTTTTTAGAGGATTTGCAAATAAATCAATACACCTACTTGCGAAAAAGTTTGTTTGAAATTAAATTAATTAAATAAATATTAATATTAATTAAAATATTAATACGAAAAATAAGTAAAAATATTATTTATTATAATTTATATTATTTACGAGTATAATATTAATTATAGTTATATTGTTAATTATTATCAGCTACAATTATTATTTATTAGTAATTTAAAGTATTATTATTTTCAGTCATTGACAATTCAATTTATTCAATTAACAATTTAATTAAATTATAGTAATTTTAATAGAGGTTTTACTTCTATTTTGAATAGAGTTAATTAAAATATTACCTCCAGTAATTATTCATTTTTCTATTTTTTCAGAATTGACCTCTACAAAAATGCTGTTCAATAAAGGTCAATAAAGGTAAGTGCTTTTTCCAACATAAAAAAAATTTTAAAGTTTAATTTTTTTAAAAATTTTATTAAAAATCAAGGGAGAATTTTTTTAGCCAGAGAGAGAGAGAGAGAAAAGGTTTTTCCTAAAAGTGTTTTTAATTAAGAATTTGCAAAAGGTGAATTCAGTCGAAAGTTTAAAGAGTGAGAGAAAAAGAGAGAGAGAGAGGGGTGGTGGAGGAGAGTGGGGGAGAAAGAGAATTTTTAAAGGGATTACGGTTGAATACGATTGCAATAAAAATGAATTTTATAACTCATTCAATTCTTTCGTATTCCACTCGCGTCCATCGATTCCCATATATCCCGGAAACCCGATTACGTGTATTGAATAATTCGCCATTTACATTAAATAATTGGTTCTAGAATATAAATACTGCAATAGTTGCCTGCTTTATACTCAAAAAATAAACACCTCGATAATTTGAGATGTTATCACTTGTAATTTAAGATGAACTTTATTTGTGTTTATAAATAGAATGAAAAAAAGGGAATTTTTACTTTTGTTTGCAAACGCACAATAAATGGGAATGAGAAATTAAATTGGTAGAATATTCAATTTTGCAATAGATGAAATTCTATATTTTAGTGTCTTGATTGAAAAATTTAGAGAAAGAAAAAATTTTGCTGTTGAAATATTTTTTTTCTTTTCTTTCAATTTTAAAGTACAGAAAATATATTATTTACTTCAAATTTTGTAGTAAAATATTTTTTTTACTTCAAATTTTTTAGTAAAAAAATTTTTTTACTTCAATTTTTATAGTAAATTCCATATATTATATTCTTTATTTACTTAAAATTTTATGGTGAACAATTATTTATTTAGTTGAA